GTATAGATTATCAATATGATTTATTACTATTGATGTTGACCTTGATCATTTGGCTGAAGTGACATTTGTCAGGTTTCTCTGCTGTAAAGTTGCTTTTTTGTTCCACTTTCAATATTGTACTCTTGGGAAGGAAGTTACTATGGACAACCTCCATTGAGGAGTGAGGAATTATGCTCCCCTTCCTTTAAGGTGGGGCATCTGTATAATATATCTGGAATTTTTTTGCATGACAGACTAGCTTAAATCTCCCATTTACTATTTCACTTATTTATAGCAGTATGGATCCATTAACATTTATTTTATATTTTCAGTTGTAATCTATTCTTACTGTATTTGCTGTTCAGATTGACAGCTTTGGCACTGTCAGTTATCTTTTAAAGAGATTTTTTGAAATTAGAAAAAATGTTTTTTATATTTACTTGTACATTGTTACTGGTACTCTTTATTTTACGCCAGATATCCATCTCATTTCATTTACTTTCTTCCTGAAGTCCTTCCTTTAACATTTTATGTAGTCTCTATCAGCTATTAATTCTTTCAGTTATTACATGTCTGAAAAATTGTTTTAGTTGGGTTTTTGAAAGATGCTTTTACTGGATATAAGATATATAACATTCCAGGTTAACTTTTTTTTCTTTTTTTAATGCTTTAAAGATGCTTCTTCACTGTCTTGCATTATTTTACATGAGAACTCGTTCTTTGTTTCTCTTTAAATAGTATGTTATTTTTTCTTTCACTTTTTTTACGTTTTTCTTTTTATCATTGGCTTTTGTCAATTTGGTTATGATGTACCTTCGTATCATTTTCTTCATCTTTTTCCTCCATAGAGTTTGTGCAGCTCTTTTACTTTTTATTTTTAGATTTGTGAGGCTGTGTTTTTATTTAATTCAGAGAAACTTTAGTGACTATTTCTTCAAAATTTTTTTTGTTTCTTCTTCTCTCTCACCTGTATTGGTTACTCCAAATACACACATATTAAGCCATTTTTAAGTTGTTGCATAATTCATTAATGGTGTATTCATTTCTTTAAACTGTATCTCTGATTTTTTGGGGGGGGATGTTCTATTTCTGTCTTTCAGGTATACTACTATCTTCTTTTACATGGTTTACTCTGCTGTTAATACCATCTAGCATAGTTTTTCATCTTAGACATTGTATTCTTTATCTTTTCAATTTAGGTCTTTATATCTTACCTATGTCTATTTAGCATACTCATGCTTTCCTCAACCTTCCTGAATACATGTAATATTATTATAACTGTTTAAAAATTTAAAGCAGTTCTATAATCTACCATTTTTATATTTGCTTTTCTTGATTATTCTCTTTATTATGAATCTTACTGTTCTGTTTCACTGCATACCTGGTATATTTCAATTGAATGCCAGACATTGTGCATTCTACTTGTGTGTTAGAGATCTTTTATTCTCTTAAATATTCTTGGTATTTGTTCTAAGCTGCAGTTAAATTACTTGGAAAACATATTTTCAAGGTTTGCTTTTAAGCTTTGTTAGTCAGAAACAGAATAGACTGTAGCCTAGACTAATTTAGGCTCTACCACAGAGGCAACGCTCTTCTACTTGCTGGCTCTTATAGTACAAGGTTTCCCACTTTGATCAGAACGTGGCTACTCCCAGCCTTGTTTTGCATATTCCATTCTCATGGTATCCCAGCTTTGGGTGGTTTCCTTGTATCCATGCAGCAATCACTACTTAGCTGAAGGCTCCTACTCAGGAATCCTCTAGAGTTCTCTAGGTTTACTTTCTGTAGTTCTTTCTTCTCCACATATTTTCTTTTTGATACAGTACGTTATGAATTCTTCGTGCCTTGGCCTCCCCTAACTCACCCTTCTCTTCTCAAATTGGGGAGAATGTCGGGTCTCTTTGGTGTTTCATCCTTGCCCTGCCACATGAAAATTCTCCAGGCCATAAGGCTGGCTATTTTTAGAGACATTCTCACTTGTTTCTCTTCTTTCAAAGACCACTGTCCTTTAATGCCTGTTGTCTGATGTCTGAAAATCATTGTGTCATTCATTTCTTTTTAATTCCTCACCTGAGGACATATTTATTGATTTTTTTTTTTTTTTAACAGCGAGAGGAAAGGGAAGAGAGAGAGAGAGACAGAGAGAGACAGACATTGATGTGAGAGAGAAACATCAGTTGGTTGTCTTCTCTGTATGGGCCCCCATTGAGGATTGAACCCATAACCTAGGCATGTGCCCTGACCAGGGATTGAACCCACAATATTTTTGGTGTACGGGATGATGCTCCAAACAACTGAGCCACCTGGCCAGGGCTCATACATATTTAGTCCAGTTTTTTGCTTACTGTGGGAAGGTAAATCCTGCCTTTTTTTTTTTTTTTAAATCATAGCAAGAAAGAGTTCCCTAAAAATTCTATTCCATTGTTGCTTAAAAAAAATCTTGCTTTGAGAAGTCTCATTCCAAACATATTTTGTTTCCCATATAAGATATTTGATCATTTTGTTAGAAGCTATGGACTTTCTGTCTTATTTTTAAAATGTGTTCATTAAGATAAATCTCAGAATTGGTCATTATAATTCACTTTTCTCGTGTGCCCAGTTATCTTTTTCAGTATGTGTATTTCCAGAAAGTATACTTGGATTATAATTTTAAATATTCTTTTGTACTAGTTTGTTTTCCTTTTCAAGTTCTCCAATTATTTGTAGATTTGATTTTCTTTCTTTATTTTCCATTTCCATTTCTTTTTTCTGATGGTCTTTAATTTTTTTCTCACTTTGTAATTTTCTTACTTTGTCTCTTCTGAAATTTTTATTTTACTCTATTCTTTCTTAACCACCAATTAATTTATTCTTTATTTTTAATATTTTGTCTTTCTCTTAATTTTTTTTTTACAATTTCTTTTTTGGTTTTTAAATTTCTGAATCTTCATGTGAACACTCCCCATAAAAATACATAATTCAGCAATGTAATTTGCTTATGCCTGCAGTTTTCGTTTGCATGGCAGATTGCCATCACCTGAAATGTTTTGATTATCTTATTCTGTGTTCATCTCACAGTAGCGTGGCATTGATGAAGACACTATCTTTGTGATAGTTTATAAAATTCTTAGTTCACGAATACCTGCTTCTGTCAGTTTATTTAGTGGACAGTGTTTTTGGTAGTGCCAAGGAAGAAGTTCAGTGTTTTTATTTTATTATATAAGACCCGAAGTTCGCCACTCTTATTTATTTTTCCTCCTGACACCCGGTTTCCAAAGGATGTTTCTTCCTGCCTTTTTACTACTCTCCATTCATACATTTCTTTTATAAGACAGGTGTCTTGACTTTTGTGCTCATATTTAGTCTCCCCTTGGTAGTCAGTGTTATACCAGATTCTGATGTATCAGACTCTTTTATTATTTTTGCTCTTGGCCCAGTCCCCTCTTCTCTCTTCTATGCATTTTTTTCTGAACCCTCTAGCTATCTAAAAGGACTTGCTGTGGGAGCTACAGAGTGGAAACCATTGGAAAGTGGTCTATTTATATTTTTCCTACAGGAAATTTGAAATTGATTGTATTTTCTGTCATCTGATTTTGCTGGAGACATAAGACTTTAGAGGGGTTTTTTTGTTCTTAATATTTATCTATATAGTTTTTTGGGAGTATGTGTGGATAGGTTCACATTTAGGCAAATGTCAGTACTTTTGTTCCCTCAAAGCCTGGAAAATCTGCTTCTTGAGAGCAATTAACTAAAAAAGCTAATTTGGATATTTTCTTTAATCAGAGAAGTATGATGGCATGTGACATGACATTTGACCTTTTAAAATGGCTGGATTTTGCAAATAAGGGACTTTGGAATTTTATTCTTTCAGATAATAGATCAGTAGAGAAGTTTTACTATTTTTCATGTAGATTTTGAATTCCAGATTGTTCTTACACCTATGAGAGGGATGTCTATAAAGTTAGGTTAAAGTTGCTACATAATACCTTTTAGTGCTTTAATAAAATAGTGAATTATTGTTACTTGACCTTTTGAAAAGGTCAGTAGTACATTTTGTTTCATTTTTTTAAAGGACATTTAAATGTAATGAAAGTCAGAACTGTAATATTACCATGAAAGTAAAGGTTATGGGGTACATTTAATTGTGTTCCTCTATTTTTGAAACTGCTTTGAGGGAGTCTGTGTTAAAATTCTCGTGGTAATTGTTTTTGGAGAGTTTTATTGCTCTTTTTCATTTTATACTGTTGGAGTAAAAGATTATAATTGTTTGTCTTTTTCCGCTTACTTTTGCTCAGATTTCATGTGTGTTAACCTATTTAAGGTACAAAGTTGAAGCTGCTTACTCATTCACTTTCTGAAGAAAGTAAAACTGAATATATTTCTCAGAGAACAGTCCTTAAAAAGACTCTTGAGTAAAATTTGGTGTATTCAAATGTATAGGTAGTAAATATTTAAATTAAAAGAAGTAATAAAATGTTAGCAAGTTTATTTATGAAAGGTCTGCAAGTGTGGGAGAATTAAATACATTCTGATTTATGAAAGTATTTCCCTGATGTTTGTATATTTAGATTATTTAACTAAATATATTTTCATTTTTTAAAGTGTAGGACATCGAAAACATGGAGCCCAAAATGTATTATATATTCTTATTTTACATTGTGATTTTTCCTCTGTATTCAAAGCAATTTAAAGGAATTTCTTTTTAATATATTTATTTTCTAAGGAATAACATTTTAAAAAATTTTTATGTCTACATTAACAATTTCTTATATTTCTTATGTTTATGTGAGTGACTTTCTCGGTGAAAAGTCCTATTTTAGTGTTTTGATTTCCCAATAATTACATAGTTTCAGACAGTTATTTTCCCTCAAATGCAATATTCTGTTGCTTATATTTTTTAACAGGTATAAATATTTGGATAAAATTGATACCTTTCAGAAAATAAAGGAAACATTGCCTTTTCTATGTGATTGTAAAATTAAGTGAGACTCATGGCATTAAATGAAAGATGAAAATGTTCACATTTTCAATATTTTCCACAGGGAAGAGATTTCCACATTAAAATATTGTTGCCTGAAGATTTGCAACTGAAGAATGCAAGGTGATGCGGTGTTTTGTTCTATACTTTCGTCTTTGTGGGATGGGCAGTCAGTTAATCTGCAGTGAACTGATTTTAGTCATTAAAGTTTTTCCTAAAGTGCTTATTAGTCATTTCTGATTTTCCCAAGTCAGTGTGCATTTCGAAATGATTTCCCCTGGTGCTCAAGCGCTTTTCAATGGTGACACATTAATTCTCTATTTTTTTCCATTAGAGCAGTAAACGGCAATTGTGTAAGTTTCACTAACAAGTACCGAACAGAAGTATAAAGGGAGAATACATAAGAATTAGAAGACTTGTGTTCCCAACTGTTGACTGATATTAATTATGTGTATATTCAACCTGTGGCCAGACCCATATTATCAGATCAGTCCTGGTATAAGTTAGGTATCAGCCTGGGCTGTTGGTACAGACAGTCTGTCAAAGAATGTCAAGGAATGAGACTAGAAATTTAGGTAGTGCCCCAAATCTCATTTCTGCTCTTAAATATCTGCAGGGGAAGAGGGGAGGAAGAATCCAGAGACATTTACAAGTAGAATTAACAGGATTTTGTGACTGATCAGAAGCAGGAAATAAGAGGAAAAGAGGAATGGAGGATGCTTTCCAAGTCCCTGGGTTAGATAGCTAAGGTAGAGAAGAGGTCACTGATGGAAATATAGAAGATAAATTGTTTTATGACATATCAGGTGTGAAATATCAGGAGGAGCTATTTAATGGGTAGTACCTGACTGGCGTGGAACTTGAGTGTGAGACTTGGAATGGAGATGTTTGTGGAAGTCACTGTAGGCACGGGCATTGGCGCTCTGAGTATGGGTAGACTTCCTAATGCCTGCATGTGTGGGGTGAAAAGAGAAGGCCGGTGATAGACTCTTGAGGGCGTGCTAAAGGACTGGTAAATAAAGAGGACCTTGGAAGAAGTCTAAGGATTGACCAGAAAAGAAAGAAGAAAATCTAAAGCCAAACAGAGACTTAAGGAAGAAATGGTCAAGGGTGCTGAGTGTTGCAAAGGGATCATGTTAGATGTGATTAGGTTTCATATGGATATAAACCAGGTGTATTGGGTTTTAACCTGTATAGACTGCTTTGAAGAAAAGGAGTGGCCAGTGTTGGGAAAACTCAGAGAGGGCATCCTACTTCCAGGTCCGTAAAATCACTTCCCTAGAAGAGTTACTTACCTAGCAGTGTTGAGAGCACAGCCAAAGTGAGCCAGCGGATAGATGAACATGAACTTGTCACTAACACAATTAAAAGTCTGTATACTTTTAGTTATATTACTCTGGAATTTGAAGAAGATTATGTTGCTACATATACTTTTTCAAATACAAGTTCTGTATACTATGATCTAAACTGTTGGTTTTATTTAACCTACCTCATCAGAATCTAGTTCAGTCAAAAACTAGGCTGTTAAAATTTTTAAAAACATGTACTTTTTGCATCTCTTTTACTGATGGCAGTTATTTATATTTTGAAATAAAATTAATACTGACAGTTTGAAGACTTTCAACTCTATAAATGGTAAAACTTTTATTAACTTGCAAGAATTATGTTTATGTGAATTCTTTTCTATGCTTATGCCTGTTTATGTTAGCGTACATGTACATTTTTTCCTATTCTGAACAATGAACATATTATTTTATTCCATTAAAATTTTAGATTACTATGTAGTTGGCAGCTGAGGACAATACTTAATGGATACCATCAAATAATACAACAGGTAAGTCCTTCAAAAGGTTTTAAGCATGGATAAGGAATTACTAAATTTACTCTTTTTAACGGCCTACGTTGCAGAATGTTGTAACAAACTAGTTTAATAGTTGCTAAATTTTGTGGGTTTCATCTCTATGAAATATTTTAAGGATCCATACATTATAGAAAAGTTTTGTCTCAGAATCCTTAACACATCTCCAGGCAACATTTGTGTTGAAGCTGATTTCCATCCTTGAGGTTTTAGGGTCTTCAAATACGTTGACCCTTATCCATATCCATGACTTTTTGAGTGATTTTCCTGCTAAGACTGAATAGTGGTGGTATGAAAAAACACCTGGACTCATTTAGGAGTTGTAGGATATCTGTGGCAAAAATGGGATTGTAGTTCTAAATTAGTAGCAGAAAAGGTGTGGGAATCACTTAGGATCATGTATGTGCACATAATAGGATTAGTAAAGGCAGCATTGATGAGATACAGGCAGGATCTACTTAGTTATCCTTTTAAAAATTATTTTATAAATGGAAGTTTGTGCCTCTTGACCACTTTCACCCATTTTGCCCACCCCTAAACCCCAGTTTAGTTTCTTAATGTTTAGGTTTCTCTACATGAACATTACTTTAAAGATTAGAGAAACTTAAAAACAAAATCGCCGTTACTGCAGCAACCAAAAATAATGAAATGGCTCTTGTAGAAAAATAAATTAAGTAGAACTGCATTTCATTTGTATGTTTTTCACTCCTATATTTTCTCTATCTAAAAGGCAGGTTATTATCTATGATAACTGACAATGACAGAAACTCTCACATAAAGCATTACTAACTAAACCACAAAGAAGTAATAGGAGATAAACTATTTGATTTGTAGAATGTGGGCTATCATTGCTGGCAGTATAATTATAGCAGTTTTTTAAGGGGATGTTTAAATTATTTCTTTCTGTTTTCTATCCGCTGCCCCCTCCCATCCCATGTGACTATTTATATTGTATATTAAAGTTTAAGAAATGAATCTATTGAGATATTTAAGTAACCTGAAAAAACTTAATAAAGACTAAGTATAATAATCAGATGTTTTTCTTCACCAATTCACCAAGAGGTTTCTAGAAAAAGCCCGAGTTACTACTTAATCTCCTTCCTATCCTCCAGTTGGTCATATAAAACCCAGTATTAGTTGAGTCTTTGTTTTATTCCAAAATCTAAGTGAATATTTCTATTCTTTCCTTGTATCATTTTTAACTAGTAAGCATAGGTCAGGGGGATCAGCAGTCTTTTTCGGTGAAGGGCCAGGTAGTAAACTTTTCAGGCTTTGTGGGACCATAAGATCTGTTGCAGCTACTCAACTCTGCCCCGTAGCACCAGAGCAGCCATGACAAGAGTTAAAAGAATGGCTTAGCTGCATTTTGGTACAAATTTATTTACGCAAGCACTCATTGGCTGGGTTTAGCCTCTGGACTGTAGTTTGTAGACCCTGGATATAATTTATTACTCATCTCTACAAAACAAAGGGGTGAAAGATATTGGATAGGAGAAGGGAAAGTCAAAGATTTGTTCTACAAACATGTACCCACTCAAAGTTATATTAATATGTGAATCATATCTCATGCATTGCTGAAATATCTTAGATTATTATTTTTGTATCTAAGAAGGGTGGACAAATTCACATATTGACTTTGTCTAGAGCTGTGTGGCTGTAGTGCGGTGTATCACAAAATGTAACAAAAATACCATATTTTGATTTCAAGCAGAGAGATGATAGTTTTAAAAAATAATCTTAAATTAGAATTTTCTTTGCTTTCTTTTATTGTATAATTATTTTAAGAATGATTTCTAAGAAATGGAACCATGAGTCTTAAATATTCATTTTACTTTAGAAGTTTTTTTTTTTTTTTGCCATTTTGTTATATTGGCTTTACCTTACTAAAAGATTGACTCTTTTTGAATTCATATGGATTAATTGTGAAAGGACAAGAGTTCTAATTATAGGTGGTCTTTAAGGTCAATGAAAACAATAGATAGTATTATTAATAATTATTAATTCATTGCTCTAACTAGTTTTTTAATTGTATAGATTTTCCTGATTTTTATATATTATGCTATTATTTGCACTTTCTTTACTCCCACATGACTTTATAAAAAAAAAACGTGGTTTGCTAGATTTGCTAAACTCAACAGTAACGAGTGTTGAAAGAATACTCAATTCAGTATATCTTACCAGAGTAGATTTTAGGGCTTTAATTACACTTTCAAAATGAAATTGGTAGAAATAGTAAGGACAATGGCCAATACTCCAATTCTGATACTTCTATGATACAGATAAAGCTAATATTTTTTTCATATTCACATAGACCTATATTTTATTTCAGTTTCAATGCATAGAATATTCATTGTATAAGTAAAATTAATTGAAAATGTTACTTTGACCTAGAGAATGAAGCACTCTCCTGATCTAATGAGCTTTATGATGGAGTTGAAGACGGTTTTGGTATGTATTTGTTTTCTAACACTGTTACTGTATTCTTTAGGTCTCCATTGTTTTTGCAATTTCTGTAAAAACTAACATAAGAGTTTAAAACTCAACTCCCAGATAGTTAATGTTTTATTTTATTGTGTGCATAAATGTGGATGGTACTTTTCTTGAACTGTGTGAGGAACAGAACTGTTTATAAGAACCAATTTCATTTTATCATAAACTGGATACACTTGAAACTAATCTCGGGCAGATGGTGAAGAAATAAAATGTACTCCTGGTCTGTCAGAGAATTTAACATCTTCAGAGAGATTAGGAAGTTACACTTAAAGATATAATACAACATATAAATAGTTTTGTATAAAGCTGCAGATTTTTGAAAAACTTGTTAGGCTTCATTACATACATACCAGTACAGTTCCTTACAGTAATTGATTATTAAGTTAGTCAATTATGCATAAAATATTTATTCTATAGACATTGTATTTTTTAAAACATTTTATTATGTAAATTTTCAACAAAAACAAAAGAGAGACTATAATGAATACCCATGGGACCATGACTTACCTTCAACATTTAGGAAGAAGGGACTGGGGTATTTTTTTAATTCTCACCCCAGGATATTTTTTTATTATTGATTTTAGAGAGGAAGTTGGGGAGAGAGAAAGAGGTAAAGGGGAGAGGGAAACACTGATATGAGAAACATCGATCAATTTTTCTCCTGCACGTTCCCTGACCGGGGATTGAACCCATAACCTAGGTATGTGCCCTGACCGGAATTGAACCTGCAATTGAACTGTCTGCTGCATGAGACAATGCTCCAACCAACTAAGCCACCCAGCCATGGCGGGACTGGAGTATTTTAAAGAAAAACGTGAACACTGAGTCCATTCCTCCATAAATATGTCATTGTATATGTTTAATAGCTAATTGTTTTTTGTCTCTCTTTAAGTATGTTATTCTAACCCCAACAAAGTTACTGATAATTCCTTATAGCTGCTTTGTTTGTACCAGTGTGCAGATAAGGCCCACACTTTATATTTAGATGCTATATATCTCCTAAGTCTCTTAAGTTATAGCAGCACCTCCTCTTCCCCCCACCCTTATTTCAATGCCATCTACTTGTTGAGTAAACCAGATTATGTGTCCTGTAAAATTTCCCAAATTTTGGATTTGGTTTATTAGATATTCATGGTGTCTTTAAAATATTCTTCTACCTTTTTTTATAAACTGGCAGTCAGATCTAGAGATCTCAACAGAGTTGGGTTTATTTGTAATGGTAAGAGTCCTTTGGGTCTGTACTTCATATATTGCATCAGGATGGGTACATGGTGTTTGATAGTCCCTCTTTTAGTTAAGTTAGGGTTGATCAATGGGTATAAATACATCCAATATAAAGGTTTCCATCAGCCTGTCACCTAATGATATTAGCATCCGATGATGGTCATTGCCTACATCCACTATTTCCTTAGAGGTTACAAATGGTGATTTAAAAAATTTCGTTGTTCACATTTACTAGCTGAAAATCTTCTTTAGAGAACTTCCCTTTATCTATTATTTGATAAATTTGGGGTGTAGCTTATACTGGAGAGATAGGATAAGTGTCTGTTTCTTTTCTTTCTTTTCCTTTTTTAAAAAAAATCAATTTGTAGAATAATAAGTTGGTGCCTAGAAACTGTCAAAGGAAACTAATGATTTTTTTTTTCAGCATCATTATGAACTCCTGCATGTTCATATATTTGATTAACTTGAATTCTTTGCAATTATTATTTTTGGTGCTTAAATTGTACCTTTTTTGGTCAGTTTAAGCCTCTTCATGTTGACTCCTGAGGTGTTTTTTTTGTTTTATTTTTTTCCACACAATGCAAGTTTTGCTTTCTGCCACCAATTGCTCCAGGTTCATTTACTCATCCTATTCCAGAGCTGTATCTCCAAAGAACCGTGGCTTCTTTGTAGAAAATGGTATTTGGATGCCACAGTCTGGAAACTGATGTGCTCATTCAGTAACTTCTAGGCCTTTTTAGTGGACAAAGCTAGGAAAAAATACTTTTTAGAAAGAGAGTAACTATGAGTTCATATTGATATTTCCAATTCAGATTTGGCATTTTAGTGTTTTTACTTCTTTGATTTTTATTGCTTGTATCTTTTTTATCTTACTGTGAATATCTTGGTTTCTAGTATTAACGTAATTATTATTTTTGGTCTATTGGTCATTTAATTTTGAAGAAACAATCATTAATTCAAACCTAAAAATATTGAGTTAATCTCTAGGTCACAATATTCTATTTAGTACATTTGTTATTGCATCTATGAAGAAAATGGGATCCTATTTATTAGCTTTCTGAAGAAACTGTGGACAGAGATGGTGATCATATTACACATATGACAGCATACCTAAAAATGGAAGAACTATTAGTTTATCTGTTGGGGTGTGTTATCAGTTAGGGTTCCTATAATTTACCACTGATACCCAAATGAAATTAGTAGTTACTGAATTTATTCAGGAAATTTTGTAAATCTCCCATGGAGTTACCTAATAAAAACTTGGCATATAGCAGGAGTTTAGTATATATTTAATAAATGACAATTACCCACATTTTAAAAAACTATCTGAGGTGTAGGTTATTTTGTTCGTGTTTCAGAGCCAAGTCACAGAGCACCGAAGGCCTCAAAACTAGGAAATGTTCAAGTTAGGATTTAAAACCTTTGTTTGTAAAACCTGTGTTTTCTCTACTATGTAACTTTGCCTCCTTCTTCATGAAGAATGTTTTGCTTCTCAACCTTTGCCTTTTTTCCTGTTATGGTTTTAAAATAGGAGTAAGTTGTCTGACATAAGGTGGCAGGCAGACTTTACAAATGTCATAAACTTAGGATTAAACTACTTTTAAAATTCTTATCTTTCTTTTTTACTTTTAATATTTGTGGATAGCAGTAATTAATATTTCTGAATAAAAATAGAAATTTCCAGGGGAAATACTGTATAGCTATTATATGTATAAGTATGTGATAATGAAGGGTTTTGTTTATAAGGTTGTGATTCATGATGATATACAAATATATCGATCTAAGCAGTGTACATGGAGTTCAGGCTTTTCTTTAAAGATACATGTTTCTTTCAATCAAACATTACGTCCACAGGTATAGTAAGATAGTAAAGCCGTGGGAGTGAATAATTTTTAAAAACTTTTTTCATCTTTGAGAAGTATCATAGTCTTGGAGAATATTAAAATCTTTAGGTTGAAAGTATAATAATTAGTATTTTCATATGATCTTCAGTGTAATCCTTTCACTTTTTCATGTCTCTTTTTTTTTAATGAGAAGTGGAATGATTCAGCTGCATTTTCTGTAAACCTAATGGCCACTTTAGTTAGACACAAAGGAGATTATGAAATTGTGTTGTGTAATCAGGTACTAACAATTCATTGTCTATCATTCCACAGCTGATTCAAATTTTTTCTTTTAAACAGGAAGTTGCCTTAAAGAATAAACAAGAGATACATGCACTACCTCCGCCTCCTCAGTTCTACTCAAGCCTTATTGAAGAGATAGGAATTCTTGGTTGGGATAAGTATGTCTATTTTAAAATATGTTTTAGAAATGTCTTCCATTTACACATTCAATTTAATATATTTGCAGTTTTAGCCACTTATTTTATACCTGTTTTTAGTCTGTTTCATTGTAATTAGAATATCTGATCCTTACTGTGGTTATGAATTAAAGGGATATTATAAAAAAAAAACCTATCTACAAGGTAAAATACTAAATTTGGAAAAAGTAGCATCTTAATGTACACAGTAAAGTTCACCATATTTTCAGTGAACATAGCTTATTTTAAAAACTTTATTTATTTATTTATTTTTAATTTTATTGTTGTTCCATTACAGTTCTACGAATTTTCCCCCTGTTGCTCTCCGCTGCCCTGTCCTCTCCGCCCCATAGTCAATCCCTACCCTGTTGTCCATGTTCCTGAGTCATTTATTCTTGTTTCCTGACTAGACCCGTCCCCTTCTTTCTTCCTCCCTTCTTCCCCTCCCCCTTCCCCTCTGGTCACTGTCAGTCTGTTCCTTGTTTCCATGCCTCTGGTTCTATTTTGCTCGTTTGTTCTTTTGTTCATTAGTTTCCTGTTGTAGGTGAGATCCTATGGTATTTGTCTTTCGCTGCCTGGCTTATGTCACTTAGCATAATCCTCTTCAATTCCATCCATGCTGTTGCAAAAAGTAGGAGCTCCTTCTTTCTTTCTGCTGTGTAGTATTTCATTGTGTAAATGTACCACAATTTTTTTATCTGCTCATTTACTGATGAGCTCTTAGGCTGTTTCCAGCACTTTGCTGTTGTAAATAATGCTGCTATGAACATAGGGGTGCATAGGTTCTTTCAAATTGATGTTTCAGGATTCTTAGGGTATAGTCCCAGCAGTGGAATTGCAGGGTCAAAAGGCGGTTCCATTTTTAGTTTTTCTGAGGAGATTCCATACTGTTTTCCACCATGGCTGCACCTGTCTGCATTCCCACCAATAGTCCACTAGGGTTCACTTTTTTCTCTCTTATCTTTTTTTAATATATATATATTTTATTGATTATACTATTACAGTTGTCCCATTTTTTTCTCCCCTTTAGTCCCTTCCACCCTGCACCACCCCACCCCCCCACCATTCCTCCATTCCTTGGTTCATGTCCATGGGTTATACATATAAGTTCTTTGGCTTCTCCATTTCCTATAATATTCTTAACCTCCCCCTGCCTATTTTGTACCTACTATCTTTGCTGCTTATTCCCTGCACCTTTTCCTCCATTCTTCCTTCTCTTCCACCCCTCTGTTTTACTGTTCATAGTTTTTTATCTTTTTCTTAGATAAGTCCCTTTAACATTTCATATAATAAGGGCTTGGTGATGATGAACTCCTTTAACATTACCTTGTCTGGGAAACACTTTATCTGCCCTTCAATTCTAAATGATAGCTTTGCTGGATAGAGTAATCTTGGATGTCGATCCTTGCTTTTCAAGACTGAAAACTTCTTGTCAGTCCCTTCTTGCCTGCAAGGTTACTTTTGAGAAATCAGCTGATAGTCTAATGGGCACTCCTTTGTACGTAACTGTGTCCTTTTCTCTTGCTGCTTTTAAGATTCTCTCCTTATCTTTAATCATCGGTAATGTAATTATGATGTGCCTTGGTGTGTGCTTCCTTGGGACTCCCTGAGCTTCCTGGACTTCCTGAAAGTCTATTTCCTTGGCCAGATTGGGGAAGTTCTCCATTATTTTTTTAAACAAGTTTTCAATTTCTTGTTCTTCCTCTTCTCCTGGCACCCCAATGATTCAGATGTTGAATCATTTAAAGTTGTCCCAGAGGTTCCTAAGTCTCTCCTCATTTTTTTGAATTCTTGTTTCTTCATTCTGTTCTGGTTGAATGTTTTTCTCTTCCTTCTGCTCCAAATTGTTGATTTGAATCCCAGTTTCCTTCCCTTTACTGTTGGTTCCCTATATATATTTCTTTATTTCACTTTGCGTAGCCTTTGCTTTTTCCTGCATTTTGCGACCATACTCAAGCAATTCAGTGAGCATCCAGATTACCAGTGTTTTGAACTGTGCATCTGATAGGCTGGCTATCTGTTCATCCCTTAGTTCTATTTTTGGAGTTTTGATCTGTTCTTTCATTTGAACAATGCTTCTTTGTCCCAGTGCACCTCTTACATTGGAAGGTGTAGAGCCTTAGGTGTTCGCGAAGGTGGGCAACCCAGGTTGCTGAGTTGTGATGCTGTCTGTGCGTGAGGGGTCCAAGAAGGAACATTGTCACTTGCTCAGCTCTCAGCAGGCTTTCAGTCACTTCCCCCACTACCCACAAGAAAATTGGGCCCTTCTGGGGCTGATTCCCAGGTGGGTGGGTTTGTGTATGTTTCAGACCCCATGGGTCTCTGCAACAGACTCTCCTGTGAAGCTGGGAGTTGCTTCTGCCACCGCAACCCACACAGATTTTTTACATCCAGAGGTTTTGAATCTTTCTTTTCCCACACTGGAACCCTGGATTGTGTGGTCTGTCTTGCTCCCCAGCTGTCCCTCTGGTTTATCTGCACACAAATGTGGGACCGCCCAGTCTGCCAACTGCTGCCTTGCCTGCCCTGTCTTCAGCCACCACCTTGCTACACGTCCTTTCCACCCCAGCTGCTTGTCTCAGCCTCGGCCGCCAGTCTCTGCCCATCCTTCCAGTCTGGATGAACGTTTCTTCTTTAGCTCCTTGGTTGTCAGACTTCCATACAGCTCGGTTTTCTGGCAGTTCTGGTTATTTTTTGTTTTTAAATTTGTTGTTGTCCTTTCTATGATTGTGCGAGGAGGCAAGGTGTATCTACCTATGCCTCCATCTTGGCTGGAAGTCTGAAATAGACTGTTTAAAGACTGATTTTTATATTACTTGTAAGAGCCTCTCATTGTTTTTCCCCCCTTTAATATTTATTTTATAGACCAGATGCTAAATTATTCTTTCCTACTGTGAATAGATAGAAATGTGTGTGTTTTTTTTAAATTAGAGTACAGGCTAACCTATTAACAAAGAGAACCTCAAATCCTGAATGTTTCAAGCAAAATAGAATTTTATTCCTCCCTCATTAACAGTGTAGAGGTAGGCAGATGGTCAAGAGTGAGTACAGGTGGCCCTGTTCTACAAGATCATCCAAGAACTCAAGTTTCTTTGATTTGTTTCTCAACTGTCTACTGTATTGGTCGTATAGTAGCTACTACCCATGTGTGGCTATTGGCATTTATATTTAAACTAAATTAAAATTACAGTGTGGATACTAGCTATATTCTAAGTTCTCCATAGCTGTATATAGCCTGTGGCTGCTGTTTTGGGCAGGGCAGGTGTAGGATACCTCCATTATTGCAGAAAGTGCTGGTGGTCAGAGCTGCACGAAGAGAGTTGCTCTTGTCTGCATGGTCTTTGCTGGCTCTTATTGGCCTGTCTCAGATCTAGTCAAAAGGAAGGGGGAGTGAGAGGGGCGCTGGAGAGGAGAAGGCACAGTTTTGTTAATAAGTGATCCAAAAGATGCACATACCAATCACTTTTGTTTGCAGTCCATTGGCCAGAATTTAGTAATATGCTGATACCCAAGGGCAACTAGGAAGGGTTGCTGGCTGGATGGAAGTGTATCCTGCGAAAACCTGGTGTAGCTGAGGATGCTAGGGAGATAGGGGTTCTATTATCAAGAAGAAGAAGGTGAGAATAAATACTAGATGACATATAGAAGTCTAAGTTACATGTACTCAAGGTATTAATAATCATAATAAGATTTCTCCTTGTCCCTGAAACAAAGTAGGCAGAAATCAAGATGAAGAAAATGTTTAATTTTAAATGACTAGGTTGAGATTAACATGAAAGTATAAATGTCTTTTACTGTTTTATTTGACTTCTTAAAAGTTTAACAAAATTAATTTTACCATTTTGACTGTAGGGACACATTTTGGGCATGACATTTTCTCTAGTGTATTATCTCCATGTCTTAAACTTTGTGGAAGGGTGATAATCTTGCTTGTGTGATTGGAAACAAAAGACTAGAACTTGTGTTTATTTCTGTCCAGTTTTATAGATGTTCAATAATGATTTGAACATTTGGATGAGGAGAAGCAATGGGAAGTACTAGTTGGTGATTTCGTTGTTTCTTTTTTTCCCTCACCCTTCTTGTGTTCTCTTTGTATATATTCATCATGGTTATAATCTACTTAAGGCTTATAAAGAAAAGCATTTTCCCACATTGTTTCCCACATTTTTTCTTATCGCCAATATTATTCTTTGAGACAAACACTCTGAAATAGTCATGATTACAATTTTCAAATAAATGCCTATATTCAATATTGCTTGATTTATCAGTTTTAGGAATTACTTACTGATTATTATAATTAGAAGGGATGTAGCTCCTGTAGTACCACCTCTCTCCCTTCTTTATTGTTCTTTTATTCTTCTATTATGGTTAATATTTCTTAAACTTCTTTCATGACCATTCAATTAATGGTATGTATCTTTTACTCTCCAATTAGCAATTACAAATTTTAGTGTTCCTAATCTTTTCTCCTCATCTCTTTCCCCTTTATACCTCTCAATTTTTGTGATCTCTTTCTTTTAAATTAAAGTAGTCAAATATATTTACATTAGTTCCTGTAACTATAATTCTTTTAGCTTTGGCTATTGCTGGATTTTTGAAATTGTGGTTAGTAAGTGGTTTGATTTTTTTTGTGCCTATAAAACTATTTTGCATTGGAAAGTTTATGGTAGAGCAATTATAGTATTTAACACAGCTTCATTGTTTATAATTTAGTTTAAAACTTCCTTTTGTCTTTTGATTTCTTATATACTTTTTAAACATTCCCTTAATTTCTCCCCATATATGTCATACCATCTATTCTATAGACTTACTTTCTTTTTCTTTCCTTTTTTTTTACCAGTTATCTCACTTCTGGAACCCTTTTTTTCCTGTCTTCTAATGTGTTTTGTCAGCCAGTGTTCTGTAAATGACTTTTTATTTTAATCAAATTTGTTGAAAATTTGCTTTAGTTAATGCTCTTTCCTTCTTGTTCCTTATGTAACTGTGGGTTTATATACACCTTTTAATCTTTTTTTAGTGAGTAGATAGAAGCATATGCATATGCTTATATCAGCATCTTGAACCTGAAGTGTTGATATTTTCAGAGTTAGGTGCCCATGTATCTAACTTTTGGAATTGTATAGATAAAACATGTGATAGAATCTTACGTTCTAAATTTTTGGAGGGAGAGGAATTTGAGATGTTTATAGATATAGGTGAAAGAAAGAAATAATTAAACATTTGTATATAAAACCATTGATATTTTAATGTAAATAAACATTTTTCTAGAATAATTTTACTTTTATTTGTTTTCTAAGACCCTAGACATTTTACAGATTATGATAAACATTCCTTCTGTTAATAAAAATTGCTTTATCTTTAGTCTGTTGTTGAAGACATGCGCCTTTTAAATTTAGATCTATTTTTCATTACAAAGTATTCCACACCTTTGTTGCCCAGCATATTTTTTGAAATTGACCCACTTTTACCATTATATCTGGCCAGTGACTAAACAGCTTATAGTGATGTTAAAAAAATGTTTCCTGGGTTAGGAGGCTAATGTTAGTTCTGAACTCTAATGGGTCTTACCATCAGTGTGGGTGATAAGTTGCACAATACTCTTAGGCTACTTTTTATCTTTACAAGAGAATAGTATTGTAAAAATGTCAAAAAATATCCACATGCCCAGTTCACTAGTAAATGTACTACTAAATTTGAACATTTTTGGCAGTAGCTTATGCTACTCAAGGGACCATAGTTTTACAGAATGATATATTTCAAAGGGTATTGGTTTCCATTATAGAAAATTCATGCATTTAGAGCAACTTAAAGCCAAAACAACTGTGCTTGTGCTAGATGTTTAAAATATTAGTCATCTTGAATACATGCCCAGGTTAAGTGTCAGAAGCTATATATCGCACAAAAAGAAAATTTATTGTTAGGAGACCAAGCTGTACCTGTGCTTATACAGCATTTTCCTTGGAGGATCAATTTGAGTATATGAAGTAATATCAGCCAGATTTTTATAAGTAACATTATTGATAATAAAGGAAAAGTTCATCGAGGAGAAAACAAATAAAGGAAGCATAAAAGTCTCATACTGTATGAAACTACAGAAATGGATCAGAGAGTTTGACAGGAAGTTTAATGTGTACATAAGTAGAGGCTGACAGGAACATGCTGTGTGTGCCAAAGGTTCCAGTGATGGAAAACCGAAACATAGTGCTCACTGACCACAGCATGAGCCTTGACACACATTGTAAATAATCCAGAGATCTATGACTGCATTAAGCACTAGGCTGGTGTATTAACGGCAGTAAATCTATATAGCAGCATAAAGGGCTGGCATGCAGAAATCCCTCTGATTAATATTTGTAATGGATTAATAGGAATATAGCAAATATTTTTATTTTGAATCGTGCCATCCTTCACTGCTGCCTCCCCCCTTCCCCAGGCTTGCCCTCCCCAGGGTGATCGTTTTTTATTCTCTTCCACTCACCAGACTTGTATCTGTGGATTCTTGCTTCAGTACCATCAAGTTAAGAGCTGAAGATGCTTCTGGTAGAGAGCATCTAATCACTCTCAAGTTGAAGGCAAAGGTATGTGCTTCATTAAACTGTTGTTGTGGTCAGGAAATACTTGGTAAAATGACTGCTATGAATGTTTTCAATGTAAAGAAATGCTAGCTGCTTCTAAAAAATACACATATGGTACTTACAAAATTTTATTTTGAAAAGCCTCACAGAAAATTCACCAGGTTTCCAAAAGCCTAGATATAATTTCATGTCACTATTTTAGTTCAAATTTGATTAAAATATAGACTTCATAAAAAAGAAATATTGCAATAGGATCCAGCAGCCTCAAAGTACCAAAATGTTTTTTTTGTAACATCCAATATAGAAAGAGTTGGGAGTTTCCACTATCCCAAGAAAAGTTTTACTGAAGGTCTTTTGTCTTCAAATCTTATTATGAACTAATTACCTTTATAGTTCTTATTTCTGACCCAGTCCCGACCCTTAGAACAAACACACACACATATTTTTTGTTATTCGTTTGTTTTAACTGAATTTTTTATACTTCTGTTATTTTCAGAATTTGCCAAGGTTATGCCTCTACATATAGAGCCCTATATTATAGGCTAGTGATCTATAGCTACTCATTAATTTATTGGCACAAAACATAGCTATTTCATCTTTATTTTTTAGTTCTAGATTGTGAATTTTGAGAAATAAGTAGAATAAGCAAGTTCAGCATATTAATCACTTATTTAGTAGTCACTGGGAAAACATTAGAATTTGAGAAACCAGGACATCTTTTTTTTTTTTTTTTATTCCCAGGAGTCATCAATCAACTCTATTTCAGAAGATTGTAGTGATGAAAAGATCAATTGTGTTTGTCCTTTTAAAAAATGTGCCTGGCATTTAAGCTTTCCAGGAGAGAGAATTAATACATAAAGCTGTACTGGGTGACAGAGAAAAGTTGATATCTTATAGGGACTCTATATCAGACAAGTTGAGGAATTATTCTCTTTTTCTTGCACACAGAATGTTTAGGTATAATTTTAAGACTCATGTGATGTCTTAAAAAAATTAGTGGGCCAGAAATCTTATTTGTAAAAGAAGTTACATGGATATTTTGGTTAAACTAAAGAAAAAAATATTTTCCCTTTTAATTTATAAAGGTGTGCTTTTGTAAAGACCAGGGAGAAGGCTGCCTTTATCCTTCCAAAGGTCACATACTGCCAGTGGCAAGGGTTCTGTCACTTCTTTCAAAGCTCTATTTGTTTATAATTTGTACATTGATAAAAGTTGCTTTGCCACTGTGAAAACCAAAATGAAAGATTTTAAATACATCCTGCCTTGATTCTGTTTTCTTTTTCTTAATAGCCTAATTTTTGCAAGCATGCCTACTTACTGAACAGATAATGCTTTAAGTCTACACTGCCTGTATCTGTATCTGCAAAATGTTATTATTAATTCCAGTTAATGATGTTATTGGTAGTATTGAGAGCAAGATGTAGCTACTAGTCTGTGTGCTTCTCTTAATGTCTTCACAAGGTAGATAAAGAGACACTTTTAATATTTCTCTGGAGAACATTTTCAAGTGTTTTTGCAGTATCGATATCTGAAGCACTATCTTAGATGCCATGGCAGAAGAGAAGAGAAGGCTTTATTTGAGTTGGGAAGGAATTAAGAAGAAAATAATGTTTTTTTTTCTACTCTGTATTACAGAGTAGAACGAAATGAATCTTATTTTGGTATGATTTACCAGAGTCTTTAATTGTCCATTTAGTTCAGTTTTCATAGAGACAGACCCAAGTACTCTTTCAGATGTGATAATTTTTTTTCTAGCAGTATTTGGGTCTGGGATTGTCAGTTAAAAGTGGTGATAGCTGAAACTGTGTTAAGAGTGTATAATGCAAAATCTTAATCCAACTAAATTTTAAAGGATCAAGTTGATTTTTTTTTTAACAAGCCTTAAAGCAGGCTGATTTTGTAAATACACAAACTTTTTTTTGATATATTATAAAGAAATCCATTCATTTTAGTATTTTTATTCTGGAATAGATACTTCCAATTCTGCTCCTTTCCTTGCTGTCTCCAAAAATCCGTAAAGAAAAAAATATTAATTGTGACTAGATGCCCCCTATTACAAATAATTATATAAACTAAAAAGAAATATGATGAGGAACATAGTTAAATTTTGTTGTTTTTGTAAGTGCATTTTTATGCAGTACTTACAATATATCCTGAACTGTGGGATGGAATTATTATCTTTCCTTGAAAAAGATGTAGCCTAGGCATTCCTCAGCTTTGGCCAAGATCAGAACTACTTGGAAAACAAAGGCCAAATGTGCACCAGGGGCTGGGCACTCTGTCTCTGATGGCCGTTTTTGTAATCCACGGTTTGTACGTATTCACTTGCCTTACCTCTTAGATGGTCCAATCACAGAACAGTTTGGGTTAAAATTTTTCTTAGAACTATGTACTATAGAGCCTAAATATATTGCATGTGACAAAAAATATACTTTTATCATTTTATAATTGTATTATTTTGTAATTATTGATTTGACCGAATTAGTTGAAGATTATAAAAAGTATATGTTAATTAAAAATAATTACAATACTTATTTTTCAATTAATATTCTTTTATGTGGTGCTTTTATTGTTGTTAATTATATTTCTAAAGTGAAACTTTTGATAGTCTGTGGTGGTTTTATATATACCTATACTTCTTACTGAAAACTATCTGCATTTTGTTACTTATTTTACAATATTATTTTAGTTATGTTGTAGTTAGTACTGCAATACAAATGATTCTTAAAATGAATATCTAGGCTACTACTTCATAATTCATGTTAAATTACCCATACATATATAAATTTGTGCTTCTTTTTTAGATTCTATGCAGTTATATGCAGTTATATATAGATTCTATGAAGTTATATAAAATTTATTGTATAAATAAAATTGATCTTAAATGTGAATATAATTAACACATACTATATACATTTACCTTATAACAGATATACAATAAAGCCACCTACATATAGATCAGTCTAATTTATGTTTGTATGTTTACATAATTGTACATAAAATATATTTAAAATATATTCATCTTAAAACTATCTCACATTTTTGTATGTGGGATCATATTTATTATAACCTGCTTTTTTGTCCAACTATTTATTAGATCTCTTTCTATGACAGTACACACATACCAAATAGTGTACTGAGTCCTACTGAAATATAAGACCATATACTTAAGATAATGAGTTGTATGTGCTTAATGACTTCCAAAGTCATAGGTACTTCCCTTAGTTTAGCTACTCTAACTACAGTAAACATTTCATTAACTTCATACTCTTAATCAGATTGATGATTTAAGTTAGAGAGTTGATATTGTTTATTGTTAAAATCAGCGGGAGATAAATAGCAGTAAGTCAAAGCAAAATAAATATTCCGTTTTTGACCCATGGAGGTTTCATGTGTGCATTATTAGCTTTATGAAATCTTAACATTTTAGAGGGAAAAGGGATTTTATAACACTTTTAATTGAATTTCATCATTTTTACTTATAAAACAAGTTCTGTGACTTGTTCAAGATCACACAAATTAATTAGCAGAGCTGAAAACCAGAGAAAGCCAAAGTCTCTGCCTGCATTCACTTTGAGATAATCACACGACTTATAAAAATAGCATAGAAATTGTTTTCCAGTGATTACAGCAGTTACACTCTTAAATACATCATTGGCTATTTTAATTGTCTGAAATAGAGCTCCCTCCTTAATTTCAGCCTGGCCTTTCTCCATTTTCTTTTTTCCAAATTAGAGCATTGTTATATTTTTATATGGTTTCCTATATACTTGCCTTTGTGTTATCAGTTCTACATAACCAGATACTATTAGTCAGAGTCTATAAGTTTGCTTTCAGCCAACAGATTATTGTAACTGAATGTTAATTCATTTTAGAGCATTGACTTCAGTGGACTGATATTTTTCAAATTCTATGGAGATAATTTTTGTCCCTTTTTGCTTTATTCAACAAAGTAGGGAAAAATAAGGTGAAAAATTGAATCTAAAACTTATTTTAACCATTCTGTCAAATGAGAGAAAATTTTCCTAAAACTAAGCTTTTTTTAGTATTGGGATAAATTTAGCTTTTTAATGGAAATAAATGAGTTTTTAAAAAAATTACATGTGACTGAAAAATCCAGACTTGCATTTAAGAGATATCATGTAGTACCATTCTCTAGTAACAAAAATGATTTTAAGAAAAACTATGTTTTATCTTTGTTAACTTAGAAACCTGATTTGTCCTAGGGACAGTTTTTTTTTGTCTAAAACTGTTGAAAAATTAATTTTCTATTAACTATGAAAATCTTTTTCTGGCTTGAAACTATTACTTTTGTTTTTCCTTAATAAGCCAGAGGGCATCTTATTGTTTCTTTTTTTTATCTTCTTACTAAAAGTAATTACTTAATTGTGGAAAATACTTTGTATAATTGATAATTGTATTTTTGTACATTTCTTGATTGTGATACTGCCTCTTTAAATAGTAACTGAGCCTACTTGAGATTAAATTTTAGACTAAAAGGAAACTAATGCCAATTAGTTTGATCTCTTATTTTAAAGATAAGAAACTGAAGTCCAGTGTAGTTTACCCCTCAAATCACATTAGCAGCTGACCTAACCCTGACTTAATTCATTCCTCTTTGCTCAAAACTGATTACATTGTTACTGCCAAATCACCGAACTTTGTACCTCCTGAGCATAACTTGACTATTAATCATTTCTTGACATCTCTTTAACGGTAGAATCAAAATATTTATATGTAATAAATTTGCATTTATAATACTTTTACTAATATACTCAGTCTTTATAAAATACCTCATGTGAAATTGTCAGAAACAAAAATAACCAAATTTTATGCTTTTTCATAGTACCCTGCAGAATCACCCGATTGTATTGTGGATTTTCCTGTTTCATTTTCTGTCTCCTGTACACCACAGGTACAATCATAAATTTATTTTAAGTAGCTAAAAGAACATATTCTATTTATTGTAAGTGGCCATTATAGTTATAAAGTGATTTTTTTAAACTTTTCTTTAAGCATTTGTTTATAAACAGTACTTCTAGAGTGCCTCTTTCACATTTCCTCATAATTAATGTTCATTTTTCTCTTTGCACACACATGCACGCACATGTGCACACATGTAAACACACCTTCTAGCCTTTAGATCTTTATGCTTCAGTTAAGATAAACATGAAGCAGCTTTCCTGACAGAAATTTTGCTTTAAATTTAAATTTGAAAGGACTCCTTATAAAGCAGTAAGCAGAAAGTGGAAAATTGGGTGAAATTTTTCAGATTGCTAAAACTTTTAACATTGATGACGTAATATCAGAGGATCTTTTTCAAAGGAGGATCAATTATGACTAAAGATATAATAAACCTTGTCATTTCAAATCAGATTTTATTGTGTTAAAGTGTTTCTCCTTCATTCATCCTTGAACTTAGGCTAGTTTCTTTTTGTATGTGCTTTGAAGCATTCATACTTTGAATAAAGAACATAGGAGATTCTTTCTCCTACTCCTGTGAATTGGATTTCTCAATACATGATACCTAACAAGATCATGTATTTAGAAGCGCATTGTAAACTGTAACATATACAGTTATAAGGTGGTATGATTATTGGTAATGCCATCATCAACATTACATGTGTGATTTCTAAAGATCTGGCAGAATAGTAGCAGTTAGGTGCAAAGGGTGATCTAGTGGTGATGGGCACGATCCTTTCACTGGTAAATCGTGTCACTTTAATGCAATTGAGAACATTTCTGTACTTGTGCAGAGGAAAAAAAACTGCTAGTGACATTTTACAAATACTTTCTAAACAGAAGTTACCTATTGTTTTGTTATCAAAATTTCATAGGTTCAAGTGAAAATGTATGCTTACATTTTATATTACAAATACATAAAGTAATTGTCCTATATGTGAAGTTAGTTTAAAAAAAAAAGTCTAACAGGATTTAAATAGTCTTATGAAGGTTCAGTGTCATTTTAGTCATACATATATATTCAAAAATTATTTTTCTCATTTTATTCTTTAAAAATAACAAAGTCTTCCTCCTTTCCATAGAAATTGAGAAAAAAGAACAAAGTAAAGGAAAAACCATGGATTTGCTTTTGGTATTTTGTTATATGTTACAAATATATATATGAGATACTATGTTGACTTCTTAAAAAAGAATTAGAATTATATATCAATTGTATACCTTTCTTGTATTTTTGTCTATTTGCATTGTCTATTTGGCTCTATAAGCTTTATCTTTGTTTTATGTGAGATCATGAGATAACAATTGCACTTAGATTGTATTATTCTTTCCAGATACGATATCCCTAAGTTACACTTTATTATTTATCTAAACCCAAGGTTGAAGAATATTTTTTGGTGTTTCTTAGTTTTCTTCATGTAGATAACTATACAAGTTTCCCCCAGACTTGAATCTGTGAAAAAACATTTGCATCTCCACAGAAAAATGCCATTTAGCAAACTTAGCTTGTGATTCTACTACACTGAAAAATCTTTAAAGAAATTTTAAAATAATTTTGCATCCCTGCTTAACACTAACTACCCATGTAAGTATGGCGTGTTTATCATACTAATTCAGATTCAAGTTTTAGATTTAATTGGGCCATACAAGTTTTCTGTTTTGTACTAGCTTCAAGGAAATAGAATTAATTAGTAGTAATTGGAATGTAACAAATTGTTTTTTAAGTTACAGGATATACTAAAACATTAGCAAAGTACAAATAAAAATTTGGACACCTTTTTATCCACAACTCAAATTTGACAGATGTTAATATCTTATCACATTTGCTTCAGGTATATCTCTCCCTATTTCTTTCTCTCTCTCGGGAATAAAACGTTTTTGGAATAACTAAGATTTGCCCCTCTTTTCCCTCTCTCCTTTCCTCTTTATTTCCTTCTCTGTCATTCTAGAGAAAACCACTTCCCTGAAATTGATGTGTGTGCTATCTTTGCTTATTTTTTCTATGTTTGTTAATGCCATATTCTTTATGGCATTACAGTCTGACTTTTTCTGAGATTTTCAAATGATCCATGCATGTTTAGTACATTTATTTTAAATGCTTTATATCATTCCATTATATGAACCTACCAGTTAATTTATATGTTGCCCTACTGATGTGGTTGTTCACAATTTTCTTCCTAAATTTCTTGCTGCAGTGAACACCCTAACATGTTTTTTTGTACATGTGAGACTCTTAGTGTGTGTTATGCCTAGAAGTGAAAAATGCAGGATTGCAGGTAAATACACCTCTTTGAGATAACTAAACATTGCCAATTGCCTTCCAAAATTGGTTGTTTAAGTTTATACTCGTATCCAGCAATGCATAATATAATTCCTGCTTTCCGAAATCCCTTCCAAGTCTTAGTCTGATTTTAGCCTTACCTTAATTTTTTCTCTATTATAAGCATTCCTTCTATATTTTGGATAATTCTTTGTTGATTATTTTGGGATGCAAGTCTCTTCTCCCTGTGGCATGTCTTTTAACTTTGGATATGAAATAGTTTGTCAATCAGAAGTTTAACTTTCAGTGTGGTCCCATTTTTCAGTTTCTTGCTTGTGATTTTGACTTTTTTTTTTTGTCTCGAATGGAAAAATCTTGCATATCTTGTTCTGAGAATATATTCTATAGTTTTAAAAGTTATACTTTTAAAATATTTAAATAAGTATTTAAGTATGAGATAAGAATTTGCCTGTTTTGTATAAGGCAAAGTACAAAATTTGGATGTGCCATCTTCATTTGTGGAGATCAGGGATGATTTCAATTTTTCTTTTCACATGCCATTAAATATTAGAACATTTTCAAAATATAATATTTACCTATTCTTTTAAAGTCTAGCTGTGCATTGTAAGTATTTTGATGATGTTACCAGGGCTATGAACTCTTGAGTCTTTAGACATGACAAAAGTGTTGGTAATGTGTTTTGAAAGCAAGAAGTAATATCAGACTTCTGTGCTGTTTTTGACCTTTTTTCATTGACTTTTTGGAAAGAATTCTGCTTATGGTAGGGTTTTTTTTTTAAACAATTTCTAAACTGTTGTTCTTAAGCAAAATAAATGTTACTATTTTAGTCCAATAGCAAACTTATATTTACGAGACTGTTAGTAGGTTCCAGATTCTTAATTTTAAAAAATTCCTTGTCTGCTTTTGTACACGTTATCTCTGGATTCAGTGTTTCTGAACTTTAAATTTGGAAGATCTTTATTTTCCTTTCTTTTTGTAAAATAATAGACATGGTTTTGTGGCATCCATATTAAAAATGGGTAATTTTCCTTATGGTCCCTGTCTTCCTGCTGGGTTGATAATGTTTTGATGTATTTTTCTTTTGCTCTGATGAGAGGTCTGCTGCTGCTGCTCTGACATATTCATTTGGATGAATAATTATAACTTGCACAATGTCAAGCTGAAGATGGTAGGGTTTTGTGCGTCATGACAAGCCTAGTAGCCAGTGCAGGTGTCTCACAGCATGATCAGCAACAGCCAGTGTATTCTGGCTCAGAGGAGACATTTAGAGTAGTAAGAAATCAGCACCAAGGGCAAGGCTGCTGCTACTACTGCTGCTGTGATGTGTGCCAAAGAAACACAAAGTGCTTCTCAAAGACAAGTGACTGCACACCTTTTTTCAGATATTTACTTTGTTTATTCCATTAAATTTTCCTTTACAGACTGTAGTAAATAATGTGAGAGTGCACCGTGATTTTTATCTTACTCTACCTTCTAACATAATACTCCAAAATGTATCTTTAACAGTCTGCCGTCTTTTGGACTTTTACATACAGGTCATATGTGTGAGCATTGTTGATTAATGAGAAGGTAGAATTCTCTAATGTAAGATTTTAAGTGCACTGATATTAGTGATTCTATAAGAAACAAAATTCATTTTCTCCAGGTTGCTGACCAACCCAAAATGCTTGTTAAAATTTTAGTTACCTATAAACGTGCCATTAAATGCAGGCTTGGTGAAGTATTCTTGCCAGGGTGATTGGAATTTTCAGATTTGCTATGATACAGTAAGCAGTAGTCTTTATTATATTTTTGACATGGAAATCTCATATTCTTGGAATAATGCCATGAATGCAAGAAGAGCAAAACTAATGATAAAGCCTCTGGCTGATTACCTGATGGTGAATGAAGACATTTGTAATTAAAGGAAACAATCCTATTATATAGCAGGGAGCATGATCCATTAGTTAGAGGAGCAGACTAGCAGTTGGGTATCCTAGGTTCTGTTTACAGTTCAACCATTCACTTAAATGTATAACTTCAGACAAGTCACATGACTGCCATTTACCTGAGTTCATATTTATATGGAATAATGAACTTTTTCAGAGAGATGTTAAGAAGAATAAATTTGGTTTTAAACAACAAGGGGCAGGGGGAACCACTCAATATCCACTGTAAGAATCCTGTGGAAGCTCTTTTCTGACCTACTGGATTATCTTTCTTACTATTGTTCTCTTTGCTCTCTTTGCTGGAGAACTCATAGTACTGGGTTTTTGTTCACTCTTAAGTTGGTTAATTAAATATGCTTTTGTTTTCTTAATAATCTTATTGTTGTCAAAATAATGATAAAAAGACATAGCAGCGATCGAAACAAATTTCATTCATTATGGAGATACATGATATGGTAGAAAAAAAAACAATGTGACTTATTGGACTTAGTAACCTATTAAATGCCCTTTTTTTCCAAAAACATTTTTAAAGTATACTTTATTGATTATGCTGTTAGAATTGTCCCAATTTTTTTCCCTTTGCCCCCCTCCGCCCTGTACTCCTCTTCCCTCTAGCAATCCCCCCGCCGCCTTAGTTCATGTCCATGAGTTGTGTATGTGAGTTCTTTGGCTTTAACATTCATGTAATAATGGCTTGATGATGATGAATTCCTTTAGCTTTACTTTGTCTGGGAAGCACTTTGTCTG